AGACTACCATGAGTTTACAAAACAAGGGCCCCTGCCTGTGCTACACATGACTCAGGAGAATTTTAATCACAAATTTTTACTTCAAAAAATAGATAAGGCATCTAATGGAGAGAGACCCTTATTTAGAACATGAGAATGATGGCTTCCATGGGCAACTAATGGGGGTGGTAACACTACCCCATGTCTGTTGCACATGCAGTAATATGCATAGAGTTCACTAACATTCTGTACACTTAGAAACTATTAATGAGCTGGGGATGTAGCTCAGTAGTAGAACACTTTGTCTGGCTGCACAGGGCATGGATTCAGTACATTCCCAGCATGCTATGCACAGGTTAAGACAAAAAGTTTTACACTTTTTGTTACATTATCCAAAAAACAAAAGCCTTCTATACTAATGCACACCATAGTCTTTTTCATGATAGTCTCAACCAAGAGCAATTTCAATTTCAAAACAGATTTTCAAATGGAATACTAATAAGGAATATAATATATTGACATCATAGACGAATATAAAGGAGGCCACCGTCATGTTCATGAAGTGTCTAGTTTTGTTTATTTTGAAATTAGTTTTTCTCATTGACATTCACTTCTGGCAAACTTGCTCATATGAATTGAATATGAGTTCCTTGTCAAATACACTTACAAAGCATATTCTTCCATGCCACCATTCAATTCATTAAGATGGTTGATTTTTAAAGCTTTTTTTTTTTTTTTTTTTTTTTTTTTATTTGACTTGATGTATACATGCCTGAGTGTAGTATGTGCATCACAGATGTGCCACAGGAGGCCAGAAGACGGTTTGGAGCTCCTGAAACTGGAATTGCAAGTGGTGTGAGCCTCCCCTTTTGGCTGCTGGGAACCAGCCTGGTCCTCTAAAAGAGCAGCAAGTCCTCTAATCTGTCCTCCAACCCTGATGAGTACAGAGTTTTTAAAATATCAACAATTTAACATGTCAAATAAAAGAATCTACTTCTAGCCAGGCAAGGTGGCACATGGAGACAGAGGAAGGAGGAACTCTGAGTTTGAGGCCAGCCTGGTCTACAGAGCAAGTTCCAGGACAGCCAGGGCTGATTGTGAGACATCGTCTTTAAAAAAAAGAAAAAAAGCTCTCGCCCTAAACCATCCCACAGCAGTCTTTTACAGTAGTGAAGGCAAACTTAAGCTATGGTGAGGAAATCTGAACAATACAGCATCGAGGAAGGGCTGAGTGGATGACATAAATATTGTGCGTCTTATTTGTAGTGAGAATAACAAAGGACTACATGTTGGCCAAAGCTCACTGAGAAACTATGCGGTGTCTGTGCAATTATGTGTTAACACTTCCATCACTAAAGGAAAAACCATGGTAGTGTGAGCTATTAAAAGGCTGTTCTCACTAGTGGTGGTGGTGCACACCTTTAATCCCAGCATTTGGGAGGCAGAGGCAGGAGGATCTCTGTGAGTCCGAGACCAGCCTGCTCTACAAGAGCTAGTTCCAGGCCAGCCTCCAAAACAACACAGAAAACAAACAAACAAACACACAAACAAAAAAGGACTGTTCTCCTGGGGCTGAGGAGCCAGCTCAGGGACTTGTGCTAACTCACTGTGCTTGCAGAGGGCCTGGGATGGTCCCCATATCCACATGGCAGCTCAAACATCTCATGACCTCTTCCTGACTACCCTGACTTCTGCACACACATGATGCGCACACACTCAGGCAGGCTCATGCATATACATACAAATAAATCTAAGACTGACTTCCTCCCTGTTGTAGTAATAGTATCAAAACTTTACTTTCTAGGTAAGCACAATCTTGCCCTTATGTCTATTGGACGGATGGATGGATGAGCGCGCGCGCGCGTGCGCGCGCACGCGCGCACACACACACACACGAAACATGACCTGAGGCTACTTTCAATGTCAAGGTCAAATCCTTCACTGCTAATACTTAGGAATGTTTTGCAGCAATACTATTAAGCAACAGAACATTCGTTGTTGCATTTTTTATCTAAATAAAGAGGAAATAACGCTGAAACTACACAATGTCAAAAGCACAACATATGTGTGGAGCAGCTGCTAAGAAGAGATAATACCATTTGCTCCCGATAAACTACTTTGCAGGTATGTCTCAAAGATTAATGAAACAGCAGGCAGCTCCTTCTCAGTAAGGAGACTACTTGTTGCTAATTCAGGTCCTTCGGGGCATAGTGAATCCATCAGGTCACTAGGGCCACAATTATATAATAAAGCAAAGTGGTGGGCTTAAAAATTCATGTTCTGACAATCAAGGTTTTATATATTCAAAATGTGGCTTTCTGAAGTATGACATATGCTTAAATGCACTTTAAATCCTTTCTAAAAATCAACCTTTATTCTGTGAATTCTGTGCCACAGCTCTCCCTCCATGATTTACAGAATTTAAGGATAAATACATAAGGTGCATCACTGCCTCCAAGAGGATCAAGAGCTGATGTAGAGTCAACAAATACAGGTGCAAGATGGCAACGCTCTTCAGTCTTGCTATGCACTGAGAATTACAGAAATGAATGGACTAATGAATGGGAACGTACAATGGAGGGGGCATCAGAACAGACAATTCTACAAGGGTACTGAAACAGGATCCCTAGGAGAAAGATCCCACAAAATCCAGAGGAGCCAGGAGAAAGGGATGACCCATGGTGACAAACCAGTCAAGATTACAGTGGTGCCTAGCTGTCACCTAGGTGTCTCAGATGACCTCAGCAAGTGTTAGCTCTGTGAAAGAAGGGGTGAAGGTCACTGAGGCCATGGTTTCAGGGAGCCTGCCTCCAAGAAAACTGTATCCAGTAAGGGATACATGCATGTCTAATCCTCTAATGTACCTTCAAGATACCCTCAACAAACATACAAAGCAAGTCACATGCACAAAAACACAATGTTTATGTAAGAATGGTTTTGGGTTGGGCTTCACTCATACCTATCCTGGGGTGGGCTGGACACACCTGGAAGGGATAGATTTGAGAGGGCATGGAGAAATTTTTTACTGTTTCTTCTTTTGTAGCTTTGGTTTATAGTCATTTTGAGAGTTTCAAGTGTTCACATATTAAGACAGAAAAATAAAGTAAATACACACTTGTGCACTTTGAAACTCTGACTTGGTATCTTAAGAGTATCTGCTCCTGAATCTCACCTACCTGTAAGAAGTCACTATTAATATGAGCTATCTGTGCCTCTCACAAAGTCTCTCATACAGGGCTGAAGAAACTGTCTAGCAGTGAAAAGCACCCAGGAGAGGCAGGGTGGGTTCTACATCTCCCATGGTGACTCAACCATCCAAAGCTTCTGTTCAGAGAATTGGATAATTTCTTTCACCACTGTGACCACCAGCACACATATGGTACACATACATACATGCAGGCAAAGCATCCATACACATAAAATGAGATAATAATTTTAAATGTACTGTGTACCTACACAGGGCAGCTATAAATCTTTATGGGGGAGCAATGAGTGATATAATTCCTAACGATATCAAAGAGTACTGTCTGTAAATCTTTTCATATCAGAACAGATCTAGGAAAAATAATATAACAGGCAACCAATTAACTACATATTCCTTCAAGCCTATAATATAATTTTTTTGTGTGAAATAAAGTGAATCATCCTGACTTCTGTGTATCATAATTATGGGCAATCAATTAACTATGGACTCCCTCAAGTCTATAAAATAGTTTTCAGTGAAATACACTGAATCATTCTGATTTGTGTATTACAAATGGAATAAACTTTTAAAGGGCTCAATTGAGAAATGGATATTCATGTAAACATGCACTTACAGGTACACAAATACATTTAAAAAAATACTCCGAATGTGTAGTTTTAGAAGTGTATGGTTGGAGGCTTAAAAAAAAAGTCTCAGTGTCTAAGAGCACACACACACACACTGCCCTTGCAGAGGACCAAAATTTGGCTCCCAGCATCCATATCAGATGGTTCACATCTGCCTGTAACTCCAGCTCCAGTGGTTCAGGGGATCTGATGCCCTCTTCTGAACTCCACGGGCACCTGCACGCCCATGCATATACCCACACATAGGCACATTATGAAAAAATAAAAATAAATCTTTTTATAAAAAGTTCATGGCCATTTTGCCTTAGCAGTACCTGACGGATCTAAAAGCTATGAAAGCAAGAGCTCCTTCCCAATAAGCCAGAAGCAAATCACACACAGAAGGAAAGGGTTTGGGTCAGTTCCACACCAATGTGCTAGTGTCCAGAGCTACTGATGAGTGCCCATCCCTTCCCAGCCACCAGGCCACACCAGTTTAGACTTTGTTCTTCTCTTTCTGGGACAAGCAAGAGAACTCCAATCAGAGGAGCAGGGTCACAGAGAGAGGCACCCAGTCAGTGGCTCTGGAGCACAGCTCTATCCTAGATTATAAACTCATTGTCTGCCCAACAGACGGTCCAGACATCCTCACCCTCTGTCTCCGTGTTCCTTATATACACCCCCAGTGCTTAAGTGGGCACTGAAGTTGAGTACTAGTTATTAAAAAACAAGACTTTTAGTTGAGAACCTAGCCTTTAACAGCTGAGTCATCCCTCTAGGCCTGCAGCATGTGTGTGACAGGTATGTAGCTTGGTCTGTTTGACTGTGAGATCAGGACCTGGGTCCCTGGTGCTTAGCTGGCTTTTGGGAACCTGTTCTCCATGCTGGATTACCTTGCCCAGGCTTGATGCAGGGGAAAGAGCCTGGTCCTGTCACCTTGATGTGCCATGCTTTGTTCAAAGCCATGAGAGGACCTGAATGGAGGAGTGGATGGGGGAGGGGCTAATGGGAGCTGGGGATGGAGTGGGGGACACAACACAGAACTGTGGTGGGTATGTAAAGTGAAAAAAAGGTTAATTAAATTAAAAAGAAAAAAATTTAAAATAAGGCAACTTCCTTTGTAAACCAACTGTCTGTCTTCTGTGTGAGCGAGTACAGGCTTTTGGAGGTTTGTTTTCTGATGTACTTTAGTTCACCGAACGAAAACTTACTGTTGATGTGATCGATGTAGTAGGCACCGATCTGAGGGTCGAACCCTTCTTCCCATCCCCATGGCAGCTCATCCCCGACACAGTCAGCGAAAGACAAGGGCTTCGTTAACCTACAACAAACCGAAAGGAACACACGGTGATCAAAGCAGGCATGGCAAAGCACATGCTAATCCTAACTAAGCATCCAGGCTGCATTTTCTTCTAGTTCTCAATTGTCCCTAGAATTTGCATTATTGCGCCTGAAATTTCTTTTTAAATCTATGGTGTGTGTGTGTGTGTGTGTGTGTGTGTGTGTGTGTGTGTGTGTGAGCATTCGAGTGAGTGTAGCAGTAAGATGCCCTTGAACAACAATCACAGACAGTTGTGAACCAAATGACATGGGTTCTGCAACCCGAACTCCGGTTCTCTCAAAGGGCTGCAAGTGCTTTTATCTTCTTAACTGTCTCATTCTTTTTCAAGGACAAAATTACAGAAGTGCATATTCAAAAATGTAGAGCCAATCATTCCTAGAACCAGGAGATAAATCTCTGCAAACGAAGCAGGTTCAGTCACAGAACCCAAAGCTGAGAGAGGAGAATGGGGACCTAGCTGGAACCTTGGAGCAATGCAGATATCCCAATAGGAATAAAAAGTTGACCCAGGATTCAAACACTACCATTCTAAAAACGATACAGGGGACTTCTCAGAAGTGCAGACACTTCTGAGACAAAATGCATCAGGAGGCTGGGGAGCAAGGTGGCTTCATGGACATAGGGACATGGTAAGTTCAGATCACCATCGCCCAAGTAGAAACTGAGTGGAGATAGCAGCCACCTGTTATCCAGCAACAGGGAGAAGGAGCCCCCAGCAAAGCAGGCTTACTGGACCAGTGGAATAGATGAGCTCCAGATTCAGTGAGAGACCTTGCTCAGTAAATTAAGGGAAAGCAATTGAGGAAGACCTCTGGCCTCTACACACGTGTGAACATAAATTCATGTACTCTTCACACATATGCAAGTGTGCAAATACACACTACTGAATGTGTGTGAGTGCACATGAGTGTGTGGTGACTTCACTCTATATACATATATCCAAGGCTACTCCAACTTCAGATTTGAGTGGTCTGACTGACTTAAATGTCTGCTATAAGGTCTCCGAGAGGAAAGACACACATTTTACGGGACCATGCACATCTATCTAGTATTCGTACACATATCAACATGGTCTCACCTTTCAAAACTGCCTTAGGCTTTTACTCTTTTGAGGACTTTCTCAAGACAGGTACTCTTTAAAACTAGCTTGGCCAGCCTTATTACCTCTCTCTCTCTCTCTGAAACTGATGGGGAAACTATGCAGTCTCCTTCCAGCAGAACATAGCTCAGACCTACCTCAGACTGACTTCTCCCTCACATCCCTCACTTGACTTTTGGGCATCCCCCACCCCCACCCCTGCGGCTAAAACATGGCAGGTTGCTATTGCAGGGTGGGAATGCCCTGCTGCAGGGAAGCTGCTGCCATCGTTCAGCATGTCTTCTGAATATGACGTCACAGCCCAGGCATGGCTCTTCCACGTGAAATCTCCCAGGATCCCTTTCCTCGTGCTGAAGAGAAGCAAAAACCTTGCACAGATTACTTCCCAAACCCGTCCGTCCATCAGAATAGCAGTTTTTCATCTACATCTCAGAATACTGTGGAAATGGCAGGAGATAAATGGAATCTTCAAACTGAACACAGGTCTGGGGTTACACTGTGCTGTGTCTGTATTAAATGCCATTGTATTGTTCACATAATGATTGTTAATCCATGTTATATAAATGTTGCCTCAATAAGTTGTTTTAAAGGGTAGTAACAAGTACATAGCAAAGCCAAGACTCCAAGTGAATAATGGCTTTTCACAAGAGACAATAAATAATTAAAAACGAGGAAACGTTCAACATCCCTAATAATAAAAAGAAATGCCAAGTACAACAATACTGAGGCTGCAATTTTAAGCCTATTAAGCTCTCAAGGTTTGGCTTGGTTTTGCCTTGTCTGTGTAGGAAACTCAGTTTCGGTGATAATATGGGGGGGGTCAGCTACTTTTTCTCAAATGCAATGCTTTTATGAAACAATTTGGCAGTAGTAAAAGCAAGCAAAAATAAATAAAACAACTGGTCAGCGAGGTAGCTTAGGAGGTCCAAGACTTAGTTCAGCACCTGAAACCCATAATGGAAGGAGAGAGCCAACTTCCAAAGGCTGTGCTCTCTCTCTCCCTCCCTCTCTCTCTCTCCCCTCTCTCCATCTTTCTCTGCATGCATATAATAATGACAAAGTAAAACTATTTTTCATAAATGTTGACTTAACTTCCCACCATGCTATTCTGCAGTCCAGGAACCCTCAGTTACCTGTTTACCTACGCAGAGTAAATCACAACCCTCAGCATGTTCTGGGCTCCAAGCTTCCCTCAGCTCTGCTCTTGCCTGGTGTCCCTAAGCACACAGCCTGCCTTGTAGCACAGTCAGGGTATAATAAATGTCAGTTAAATAATGATAATTAGAAAGAAGGCTTAGGGATTATAAATTTTCTTTCTGAAAAATCTCCATTTATGGCTTCCCAGCACTTGGGAAGGAAGAAAAGTTTGAGGGCAGCCTGATCTGCATAGCAAGTTCCAGGCCATCGAGGGCTATAAAGAAAGACCCTATGATTTGTTTGTTTGTTTTAAAGGTCCATCTGTATCTGTATACAAAAGTAGAAAGTGCTTCAAGCAAATAACAACATGAAAGCTGGCATCAAGGCCTGAATTGCCAGGACTGGGACAAAAGACAGAAGATCTTCCAGAACTACATCAAAATTTGTTATTTATTTTTATTTATTATAGTTTCATTATGAATCAGAATGAAAAGCAAAACAATGAAGATGTAACAGAACGTATCTTGGTGTTCCAGTATTTAGTGGGTGTCTTTCTGCCTTTTTAGTGCATTCACTCCACAGAAGGAAGAGAGCAGACTAATCAAGCAAATACTAATCTGGCCTCTTCTCTCTGCTAAGAGCCAAGAAATATTTGCTTGTCAGATTATTTGGTTTTCAAAGATGGTTTGGGAATGTAAGTGGTTGTGCCAGCCAAGAAGACCACAACATCAGCAGGTCTTCCTAAGAGGACTTCTTAAATTATTATTCAAACAAATGGAATTGCACCAAGATGGCTTCCTCCCCCAACCTGGAGCTCAACACCATACTATGGAGCCCATCGAGGCAGCAACCATTGAGCGAGGAAGAGCAGAGAAGCTTGAGAACTCACATGGGATGTGTCTGGACAACACAACTCCACTGTCCATCTGGAGACAGTCTCGCTATGCCCTCTGTAAAGAGACTGAGAAGTACCTCAAATGGACCTGTATGACTTTTATCAAAGCCACAGAACTAGGAGGATTTCTTTAAATCCCTTTATCTGCACTATACAGGAGTAACCTCAGTTAATTATGTGACGTTTCCTCAGGCTGTGTTTGTTAAATATGTAACAAAGTTGAAATTATACTAAATAAGTTATACAAACACCATAGTTTTGAATCTCAACTTTAAAATCATCCTCTAAAGGCTGGAGAGATGGCTGCATGGTGAAGAACACCGATGACTCTTCCAGAGCACACGGGTTCAAATCCTAACACCTACACGGTGATTCACAACAATCCGTAATTCCAGGTACAGGGGATCAGACAGTGTCTACTAGCTCCTGAGGAAGCCAGGCATGCACAAGATGCAAAGACACACGTGCAGGCAAAACACCCATACCGATATTTTAAAAAAGAAAAGAATGCCTCCTTTATATTCTGACTATGAAGACCCCATAAGCCAATAGCATATCCTATTATTAAAGCGCCCCCAGTCCCCACAGAGTGGATTGCAATAGCTTGGTACTTCCCCAGCTCATAAAGTCACAGACTCTTAGAAAACATAAAAACGGGCCACTATACACAGTGTCTCTAGGTTAAAGTAGTCCAATATAAGTCCCCCTCAACCTATCATTATCTGCACCCATTTTGTGGCTGCAGTCTGTTACTAATATCTATTGTCTTTTAGAAATCTTCCTTTCAGTGAGCATACTTTTTTAAATAATTATATTTTTCGCGTACTTTTATTTTGGAACTTTCTATTAAATTCCTAGTAGTTGGACAAAAGAATAGGCACATTCCTAAAGTTACAAAATGTCAATTATTTTTTAAGTTGCAAAACCCCAACACAGGTTAGGCATGCTTTTAAAGATATATTGCTACTAAAACATTGCAATCCTTAGGCTGAAGGGATAGCTCTGTAGGTAAAGCACTTGCTTGCCTTGTAAGCATGAGAACCTGAGTTCAATTCCCAGAATATACCCCCCCCCCAAAAAAAAGCAGTGGGAGTGGCTGGCGGTATGCACTTAGGATCCATCCCAGCATTGGGGAGTTGGAGAAGGGAGGCTCACAAGGCTCACTCAGCCAAGCCAGCCTACTTGGCAGGCTCCATGCCAATAAGAGACTCAAAGGAACTGCATTCTTAAGGGTGGTACCTGAGGCTATCCTCTGACTACATGTGCATGCACATGCAAGTGCCCATGCACCTACAAAAATGTGTAATTCTTCCACATTTTTCTTTTGCATGTGGGCTTTGCCCACCTATACTCGGAGCAACAGAAGAGAGCTTATGTGCACCCACATCCCAGCAGCCTGGAGACCGTCTAGGGTTGGGTAATCTAATTACTGCTCACGAAGGATTCCTTATCTGAAATACTTGAGATCAGGCCTGCTTCTGGTTTTGTCGTGTTTGTTTGTTTGTTTTGTTTTGTTTTTAATATTGCAAGTACATGAGATATTCTGGAAATGGGGCCTGAGTCTAAACATGAAATTCATTTATGCTTCATATGGGACTTACACACATAGCCTGAAGGTAATTTTATACAATAATTTCAAGACTTTTGTGCATGAAATAAGATTTCATGGCGTGGAATTTTTCACTTGTGCTGTTATGTCCCAGGCCCACAAGGGTTTGGCTTCTACAGCAAGTTCAGATTGAAGTGTGGGTGTGCCACTTGCAGAAAGGTGGTCAGATCCTTGCTTTTCTTCTTCTTAAGGTTGTATCAGTTGCCCTTATAGATTTACAGCAGCTTTTTACAGGTCTC